GTCTTTCCTGGGGTCCCCTTGTGCAGGACATCCCCCCTTTCCCCTCCCAGGCCCTTGCTGACTCCCTCCTCTGCCTTCCCTTCCCTTCCCTTCTGCAGAGGACTTCCATGGCTCAGACCCAGGCTCGGCCTCGGCGGGCCGCATGCGCTGCGTGATCTGCCACCGGGGCTTCAATTCCCGCAGCAACCTGCGCTCCCACATGCGCATCCACACCCTGGACAAGCCTTTCGTCTGCCGCTTCTGCAACCGGCGCTTCAGCCAGTCCTCCACGCTGCGCAACCATGTGCGCCTCCACACCGGGGAGCGGCCCTACAAGTGCCAGGTCTGCCAGAGCGCCTACTCCCAGCTGGCCGGCCTGAGGGCCCACCAGAAGAGCGCCCGGCACCGGCCCCACGGAGGAGCAGCCGGGGCCGCAGGGGCCGCCCTCCAGGCCGCAGCCGCCCTCCAGGCCCACTCCCCAGCCCTGACCGGCGTCCCCCTCCCGGGCCCCATGGCCCACCACATCCCCACCATGGTCCTCTGAGGGCCACAGACACCTTAGACGCCTTGACTGGCCACCACTCCTCCCTGGCACAAGGCTCGGGCACATGGGTCCGTTGGTGTCTTGAGCCCCATGGAGGGTGTTGGAGAAGGTCTGGCACTCGATTCTGTTGGGATTGCCATCACTGCACCATTGTAAATGGGATAAGATTGCCAACCAGGCACTTATAACTCTAGCTCAGTGCTGGAAGCACTCCCCATGTTTCTTTCTAGGATTGACGAAGGCTCGCAATGATTGCTTATGGCAGATGGCAAAGCCTTCTCCATGCCCCTCTGTTGCTTTTCAATGGCATTGGGCACCCAGACATTCCAGTTGGGGCTGGGAAGGACTGGCATGTGGGTTCGTTTGGGTGCCTTGAGTGCAAGAGAAGCATCCAGTATCCTTGATGCCTTGGTTTCAATGACTTGCCAACTCCTGCATAACACGGGGCCAAGACTGGCCATTCCTCCTCCCTGGCACAAGACTTGGGCGCATTGGGATGCCCTAAGCCCCATGGACAATGGCAAGAGAAGGGGAATACCCTCACTTTTCAATGGCATTGGGGTTCCTGCCCCCAAATGCATAATGCTGGGTTGGACTGACCACTCATCCAGTTGGTGCAAGGCTTGGGCACGTGGGCCAATTTGAAAAGTGGCAAGGGAAGGGACTGGCAGTCCAGGGAGCGTTTGGTCAACTTTCAAATGAATCCCACTGGTCTTAGATTGATCTTCTGCCCTGAGAACCGTGTTTAAATATTGGAAAGGAGCTCCCATTGAGGAGGAAGGGGGAAAGTTTGTTTTCAGAGCCATGGATTCCAATGGCTGGAAAAGAGATTCCACCGAAACATTAGGAGGAACTTTGATGGCGAGGAGAGCTGTTTCACATGAGAATCTCCTTCTTTGGAAGTTTTATATACCAAGGCGAGATGGCCATCTGTCAGGAGGGATTTAGATGTGTCTTCCTGCCTGGCAGAAAAGGGTTGGACTGGATGACCTTTGGGAGGGTCCCAATTCCCCCTTGATGATTCCATGAACCAATGTTTCTCACCCTGGGTGCTTTCCTCCTGGAGATGCCTGACTATATCTCCCATCAGTCAGGTGGGAGATTCCCAATGCATGGGAGATGTAGTGCAGGGCCTATCTCAGGCATGGGTACTCTTGGACCTTCTGGGAGTTTTGAACTACAATTCCCACTATTCCTAACAGCCTTTCCCCCTCAGCTGCTTAAGCATTATAACAATATATCTAATGGGACCTGAAGGTAGGCCTCTTTTAGGTCTCTCACTCTATCATCTACCTGAAAATAGGCATCTCTTAGATCTATCACTCTATCAACTACCTGAAGGTAGGCATCTCTTAGATCTATGATTCTATCATTTAGCTTAAGCCGCTGAGCGGGAAAAGGAAAAGGCCTGAGGCTGTTAGGAATGGTGGGAGTTGAAGTTCAAAACACCTGGAGGGAAGGCCAAACTTGGCCCATGCCTAGTCTATCTCTTTTCATGGCACCCTTCAAAGCAAATTAAATTGAATGCAAACAGATGGAACGATAGCGACAATATCCATTCGTATCAGGATCGGATGTACAGATGTGTCGCGGACGGCTTCCAGAGAATGATGGTCACTTTATATATGTATGTAATAATAATAATTAGAGTCATAATAATGACAACACTTCCTGTGTTTACAAAGCTTTGTTATTCTATGAGATTGTATTGGCAAACCGTTCTTTGTACCTCTCTTTACCCTCTTGGACTCCAAATACTGTAATTAATTAATAAATATATATATTTACCTGCAAATTATTGCCCTGGGGCTTGAGACCTGGGTTCAAATCCCTGTTCGGCCACGCAAGTTGCACTCTCTTGGCCTCAAGGGAAGGCAGTGGCCTCCTTTGTCATTGTCAAAGGAGAGGCTGGGTGGTTATCTGCCAGGAGGGTTTTTGTGGTGTCTCCCTTCCTGGAAAAATTGGGGTTGACCTTTACAGGGGAGGAGGGTCATTTCTGTGGCATAATATAACCACGTAAAGTACACATTTGATCAGCCCACACACTGCCTTGCCAGAGAAAGAAAATATGCCATGCAAGTGAACAGTAAAGAACAAGTAATTTACTGTATTGTCGAAGGCTTTCATGGCTGGAATCACTGGGTTGTTGTAGGTTTTTCAGGCTATATGGCAAATGTTCTAGAAGCCTTCTCTCCTGACATTTCGCCAGCATCTATGGCAAGCATCCTCAGAGGTTGTAAGGTCTCACCATAGATGCAGGCGAAACATCAGGAGAGAATGCTTCTAGAACATGGCCATATAGCCCAAAAAACCGACAACAACCGAGTAGTTTACTCTTTGTAGTTCAGAACATATGTACAATGTTATCAGTTGCATCAACTCACATAACATCCTTTTATGAGAGATTTAAAGCGGTCTTACTCTGTCCATGTGGAGAAACCTTCCTTAGCAGCTCGCGAAGCAAGAGCACACTCCCAACTGTCTCTGTCTGCTTCTTCCCTCTCTGCACTTGCATAGCTCAAGCCTAAACAAAGACGTAACAGTTTCCAAAAGTCCCAGGCTCAGCCTGCTTCCCAATCAGCTTCATGCATCATATTTTACAGTTGTCACACACACACACACACACACACACACATTAACTGATTCCTTGCATACTCCAACAGTTTCTACCTTTATAATTCCATAATAGGTTTGCTTAGATGGAAATTAAATAGAATAATTTAATTAATTAATAAAATAATTAAATAATTAAATAAATTTATTCAAATTAAACTAATTAAATAAATAAATAATTATATGAATTAGAATAAATTAAATAGAATAATTTATTAAATAATTTATTTAATTAATAATTTATTTAATTTAATAATTTATTTAATTACATTAAATTAAGTAGATGTGATAAGGATGCCTTTTATTCCATTTATAAACCATTGATAAAGATATCAAGGCCCAAAAATAAACCCATGAAGGGTTTGGTCAGTGGAGGAATTACATACGGTAATAACGCAATTGAAACAGCACTACCTAGCCCATCATCCCCCAGCACGAATGCAAGAAGATGGCAGGGAAATGTCGACAGCATCAACTTTCATAAGGTGCACCAACACTTTCATGGGATGCATCTACACCGTGGAATTGATGCAGTTTAGCACTGCTTTCATTTGCTATGGCATCCTGGGAGTTGTTGTGTTGCAAGTAGAGGATGATGGGATGTCATGATTGAAGCTGCCATAGGGGGAAATGAGATGGAATAATCAACTCAGTCTCCTGCAACTCCAGCAATGGCCACTTGAGGGCAGCAAAGGATTGCAGTTGGAAACCAAAGGGTTATGGCAAGTCTGCTCAGTGGATTAAGGCTTGCAATAGGGATTGGCCATAGAAGGTCATTATGCATATGCAAATGATAAAAAAAATCAGAGAAGAGTATCCAAAATAATTACTTATATATAGAATGGCCTTTGCAATAACAATATGTATCTATAGAAGGAAGGAAGAATTCCAAAAGAATAACAGGTTGCTGTGAGTTTTCCGGACTGTCTGGCCATATTCCAGTAGCATTCTCTCCCGACGTTTCGCCCACATCTATGGCAGAGGTGGTGAGGTCTGTTGGAAACTAGGAAAATTGGGTTTATATACCTGTAGGATGATGTTCCGGGTGGGAGAAAGAACTATTGTCTGCTTGAGACAAGTGTGAATGTTGCAATTGGCCACTTTGATTAGCACTGAATGGCCTTGCAGCTTCAAAGCCTGCCTGCTTCCTGCCTGGGAGAATCCTTAGAGGTTGTGAGGTCTGTTGGAAACTAGGAATATGCGGCCCTGATTAATTCTTATAATAATTATATAATAATTATAATTATATAATTATATAAATATAATAATAATAATAATAATAATAATAATAATAATAATAATAAAACCTTTATTTATATCCCGCTAACATCTCCCGAAGGACTCGGTGCGGCTTACAAGAGGCCAAGGCCCAACACATCAATAAAACAACAGCATAACAAATACAACAATAAATAAAACTCATAAAACAAGCAATAAACATTAAAACAATAGCAATAAACATTAGACAATAACACCACGAAGAGTTAATAATATAATAATAATAATAATAATAATAATAATAACAATTTAAAATAGATCATCTAGAATAAAAAGGAATTTTTAAAGAAAGCATGCCAACATAATACACATATCATATATTATATTATATATGGGAGCTGATTAGCTGGCCCTGATTGATTCTTGTCTGGAATTCAAGCTAACACCTCCCAACAAAGGATTCCTCCCAGGCAGAAAGCAGCCAGGCCTTGAAGCTGCAAGTCCACTCAATGGTAATCAAGGTGGGCAATGGCAACATTCACACCAGCCTCCAACAGACAAGAGTTAATAATAATAATAATAATAATTTAAAATAGATCATCTGGATAAAAAGGAATTTTTTAAAGAAAGCATGCCAATATAATGCACATGTCATATATGATTTGTAAAATAATAATCCAAATATAGAATTGCATAATAATAGTAATAATAATAATACATTTATTATTAATAAATTTGAAATAGATAATCTGGAGAAAAAGGAAATATTTTTTTAAAAGCACACTAATATAATGTGCATGCCATATAATATATTTTATAAATTTTATATTATATATTTTATATTATATTATATTATGCACATGCCATATGTTATATATAATTATATATATAATGCACATGTCATATATTTTATATATATTATATTATATATAAAACAATAATCCAAATATAGAATTGCATAATAATAATAATGCATTTATTGTGAATCAATTTGATATAAATCATATGGATAAAAAGGAAATGTTTAAGAAAGCACTCCAATATAATACACATGTCATATATTATATTATATATAAAACAATAATCCAAATATAGAATTGCATAATTAATAATAATAATAACACATTTATTATGAATAAATTTGAAATAAATCATGTGGATAAAAAGGAAATATTTTTTAAAAGCACACCAATATAATATGCATGTCATATATTATAAATAAAATAATAATCCAAATATAGAATTGCATAATAATAATAATAATAATAATAATACATTTATTATGAATAAATTTGAAATAAATCATCTGGATAAAAAGGAAATATTTTTTAAAAAGCACGCCAATATAATATGCATGTCATATATTATATTATATATAAAATAATAATGCAAATATAGAATTGCAAAATAATAATAATAACGCATTTACTGTGAATAAATTTGAAATAAATCATTTGGATAAAAAGGAAATATTTTTAATGCACATGTCATATATTTTATATATTTTATATTATATATAAAACAATAATCCAAATATAGAATTGCATATTAATAATATTATTATTATTAATAATAATAATGCATTTATTGTGAATCAATTTGAAATAAATCATCCGGATAAAAAGGAAATATTTTTTTAAAAAGCACGCCAATATAATGCACATGTCATATATTATATTTTATATATTTTATATTATTTTATTATATATTTTATATTATATATTTTATATTATTTTATATTATATGTTTTATATTATGCACATGTCATATATTATATATAATTATATATATAATGCACATGTCATGTATTTTATATATTTTATATTATATATAAAACAAAAATTCAAATATAGAATTGCATATTAATAATAATAATAATACATTTATTGTAAATAAATTTGAAATAAATCATCCAGATAAAAAGGAAATATTTTTAAAAGTACACCAATATAATATGCATGTCATATATTATATTATATATAAAATAATCCAAATATAGAATTGCAAAATAATAACACGCCAATATAATATGCATGTCATATATTATATATAAAATAATAATCCAAATATAGAATTGCATATTAATAATAATAATAATAATACATTTATTGTGAATAAATTTGAAATAAATCATCCGGATAAAAAGGAAATTTATAAAAATCCCGCCAATATAATATATAGAAGTAATATATTACATTATATATTAAATACTTCCTGCCCAACAGTCATGGATTTGGGAGTCTGGGTCTCACTCACCATCCTAGGCCTGCAATATCGCGAGGGGCCGCCAGAGGGCGCCGAAGGGAGAGCCTTCCATAGAGTCCCGAGGCCTCTCCAGGCGGGACCGGAAGTCGAAGCCTTACCGGAAGTTTGGGTGCCCTCATCCAAGATGGCGGCGGCGGTGGAAGTGCGGCTGCCTGTGGCTCGGAAGCGCCTGGCGAAAGGCGACGGGGAAAGGGACTTGGTGGCCCCCGGAGACACCATCACCACCGACCCGGGATACATGAGGTGAGGAGGGGGAGGAGGACTGCAACTCCCATCACTCCCAGGAAGGGCTTAATGGGAACTTTAGTTCAGCGTCCTGTCTGGAAGAGGGCTATAAGTATATTATTATATGTTATTATTATTATTATAAGTGATACTTTTGGAAGCTTCTGTTGGCTGAGTGATGGGAGATGTAGTAGCCCACTGTGTTTGGGGGGCTACAGAGGGGAGAATGGGAGCTTCAGCTCAGTGTCGTGTCTGGAAGAAGGCTATAAGTATATTATTATATGTTATTATTATTATAAGTGATACTTTTGGGAGCTTCTGCTGACTGAGTGATGGGAGATGTAGTCCATTGTCTTTGGGAGGCTATAGAGGGGAAAATGGTAGCTTCAGCTGAATGTTGGGAAGAGGGCTATAAATGATACTTTTGGTAACTTCTGTTGACAGAGTGATGGGAGATGTAGTCCACTGTGTTTTGGGGGATAATGGGAACTACAGCTCAGTGTCGTGTTGGGAGGAGGGCTATAAATGCTACTTTTAGGAACATCTGTTGATTGAGTGATGGGAGATGTAGTCCATTGTCTTTGGGAGACTATAGAGGGGATAATGAGAACTTCAGCTCAGTGTTGGTAAGAGGGCTATAAAGGATACAGCCCTCTGTTGACTGATGGGAGATGTAGTCCACCGTGTTTTGGGAGGCTATTGAGGGGATAATGGGAACTTCAGTTCAGTGTCGTGTCCGGAAGAGGGTTATAAGTGATACTTTTGGGATCTTCTGCTGACTGAGTGATGGGAGATGTAGTCCACTGTCTTTGGGAGGCTATAGGGAGAATAATGGGAACTTCAATGTTGGGAAGAGGGCTATAAAGGATACTTTTGGGAACTTCTCTTGACTGAGTGATGGGAGATATAGTCCACTGTGTCTGTGGGGGGCTATAGAGGGGATAATGGGAACTTCAGCTCAGTGTTGTGTTCGGAAGAGAGCTATAAGTGATACTTTTGGGAACTTCTCTTGACTGAGTGATGGAAGATGTAGTCCACTGTGTTCTGGGGGATAATGGGAGCTTCCGTTCAGTGTCGTGTTCGAAAGAGGGCTGCAAGTTATACTTTTGGGAGCTTCTTTTGACTGAGTGATGGGAGATGTAGTCCACTGTCTTTGAGAGTCTATAGAGGAGATAATGGGAACTTCAACTCAGTGTCGTGTTCAAAAGAGGGCTGCAAATGATTATTTTGGGAGCTTCTGCTGACTTGAGTGATGGGAGATGTAGTTCACTGTGTTTGGGGGGCTATGTAGGGGATAATGGGAACTTCAGCTCAGTGTCGTGTTTGAAAGAGGGCTATAAGTGATACTTTTGGATGCTTCTGTTGACTGAGTGATGGGAGATGTAATCCACTGTCTTTGGGAGGCTATAGGGGGATAATGGGAACTTCAATGTTGGGAAGAGGGCTATAAAGGATACTTTTGGGAACCTCTGTTGACTGAGTGATGGGAGAAATATTCTCTCTATATATCTATCTATCTACCTATGTATATCTATATATCTAAATATATCTAATTATATCTGTTTATACCCCTTACCTCAAACAAAGTCTGCTCAAGATATGAGCATAAGGTGTATTATTAATATTATTACTATATTAATGAAAACTTTAAATCATAGCCAGTGATGTAAATCCTTTTATGTCCCTAAGGGGCCACGGGACGTATTTGGGGGACGAGAAGCTGATTGCCTCGGTGGCCGGACTGGTGGAGCGGGTGAATAAGCTGGTCTGCGTCAAAGCCCTGAAAACCAGGTGAGCTCAGCCTATTGTGGTTATTATAATGACTATATTAATATTATTGTGAGATACCTCTACAGCTGTGTTTATTTTGCTATGTGAATATAATACAATCACAGAATCAAAAAGTTTGAGTCTATGCTCTGCTTAAAAACACCCAGAGAAGGAGTCACAAGGGCAATTATTCCCTTGTGATCTACTCACATTTGCATGTTTTCAAACTGCTAGGTTGGCAGAAGCTGGGGCTAACAGCGGGAGCTCACCCCACTCCCTGGATTCAAACCTGTGACCTTTCGGTTAGCAAGTTTGGCAGGTCAGCAATTTAATCCACTGTAAGGAGGGGCAGATAATAAATTATTATTATTATTGTCGAAGGCTTTCATGGCCGGAATCACTGGGTTGTTGTAGGTTTTTTCGGGCTATATGGCCATGGTCTAGAGGCATTCTCTCCTGACGTTTCGCCTGCATCTATGGCAAGAATCCAGAATCCTCAGAGGTAGTGAGGTGAGGATGCTTGCCATAGATGCATGCAAAACGTCAGGAGAGAATGCCTCTAGACCATGGCCATATAGCCCGAAAAAACCTACAACAACCTATTATCATTATTATTATTATTATTATTATTATTATTATTATTACTATTCTTCTACTACTAAAGAGGTCTTACAGGCTGCAATTCTTTTGCCAGGTGAGTGAAATGCAACCCACTTTTATTGAACATCCAGGAAGTTCCAGAAAATAAGTTTTTTTTTTAAATAACATCTATTTAATATGCATTGCGTTCTGTCACCATACATATTAAATATGGAATATTGGGGTGGCTGCCTCAAATGTTAATGTTGACCTCGTATCACTGTCTAATAAAACGACAATGCTGGAAATAAGAGTGACGAGCTGCAAGGAGGCAAGGTAATAAATTTATGATGTTGGTGATTAGTTATTTTGTTCTGTTCTTCAGGTATAACGGTGAAGTCGGAGACATTGTGGTGGGGCGCATCACTGAGGTAAACAAACCAAACTTCTGGCTTTTGCGTCTTGAATACACCCAAAGCTTTCCTTAAGTAAAGGTTTCCTCTTGACATTAAGTCAAGTCGAGTCCGATTCTGGGGAAGGTGCTCATCTCAATTTCTAAACCGAAGAACCAGTGTTATCCATAGACACCTCCAAGGTCATGTGGCCACTTATAGTACTGCATGGAGCGCCTTTACCTTCCTGCCGAAGCAGTGCCTGTTGATCTACTCACATTTGCATGTTTTCGTACTGCTAGATTGGTAGAAGCTAGAGCTAACGACGGGAGTTCACCCCATCTCACATATTCAAACCGCCAACCTTCCAGTCAACAAGTTTTGCAGCTTAGCGGTTTAACCCATTCCATCGCCGCAGCCCTTCCTTTACATTATCATTATTATTATTTTCCTTAACCTTGTTATTATTATTTATACCCCACTTTCTTTCGCTATAAAAGAAACACCAATTATTATTATTGTTACTAGCCGTCCCCTGCCACACATTGCTGTGGCTCAGTCAGATGATCTGGGAAATAAAGTAATGAGAAAGTGTTGATTTCTAATATATGTAATTTTTTTATGCTTGTGGATAAACAGCACTTCTTGCTGTTTCTTTGTCAGTGTTGATGTAAAAGATTGTCTGGTTTGCCTCCTCTGGAACATGCAACATATCATTGTCCTTCTTTCTATGAGACTATATCTGTGTGTGAATCATATATATCTATCCTTATCTATGGCTGGATGGTTCTTTGTCAGGAGGGCTTTATTTATGTTTTCTTGCCCTGCCCTAGGGAGTTGGACTGGATGGCCTTAAGTATTTTCTGTTGGTCATGGGGGTTCTCTGTGGGAAATTTGCCCCAATTCTGTTGTTTGTGGGCTTCAGAATGCTCTTTGATTGTTGGTGAACTATAAATCCCAGTAACTACAACTCCCAAATGTCAAGGTCTATTTTCCCCAAACTCCACCTGTGTTCATATTTGGGCCTATTGAGTATTTGTGTTCAGTTTGGTCCAGATCCATCATTGTTTGAGTCCACAGTGCTCTCTGGATGTAGGTGAGCTACAACTTCCAAATTCAAGGTCAATGCCCACCAAACCCTTCTAGTGTTTTCTGTTGGTCATTTGAGTCCTGTGTGCCACGTTTGGTTCAATTCCATCATTGGTGGAGTTCAGAATACCATTTGATTGTAGGTGAACTATAAATCCCAGCAACTACGACTCCCAAATGACAAAATCAATTTTTCGAGTGATGGTCACTCCTTGGGTTAGTAGGTGTCTTGTGGCCAAATTTGGTGGCAATTCGTCCAGTGGTTTTTGAGTTATGTTAATCCCACAAATGTACATTATGTTTTTATTTCTATAGATTTTCCTTAACATTATTATTATTATTATTATTATTATTATTATTATTATTATTTTTTTACTGACACAAAACCACTGTATGTCACAGCAAACAAGATTTCTATGTTGGAATGATGATGATGATTATTTTTATTATTATTATTATTTATACCCCAGTTTCTCTCTCTGTAAAAGGGACACCAAGAGGCTAGTTTTTGTTTTTATCTTTTGTATTCAAAGCTGTATACCTGTGATTTCTTTTCAAAGTCTTTCTCCTTTCCTTTCTCCAAAGGTTCAGCAGAAACGTTGGAAGGTTGAGACCAATTCCAGGCTGGATTCGGTGCTGCTCCTTTCCTCCATGAATCTTCCAGGCGGGGAGCTGGTAAGTTAATGAAAGAGTTCGAAAGTCAGGGACAAACAAGCAGATTATTATTATTATTATTATTATTATTATTATTATTATTATCGATAATCTTGGGAGGCTTACCTTTTTGGAAGCCCTATAGCCTTCCATAGCTTCCCCCTTTCATAGAATCCTAGAATCAAAGAGTTGGAAGAGACCTCATGGGCCATCCAGTCCACCCCCATTCTGCCAAGAAGCAGGAATATTGCATTCAAATCACCCCTGACAGATGGCCATCCAGCCTCTGTTTAAAAGCTTCCAAAGAAGGAGCCTCCACCACACTCCGGGGCAGAGAGTTCCACTGCTGAACAGCTCTCACAGTCAGGAAGTTCTTCCTCATGTTCAGATGGAATCTCCTCTCTTGTAGTTTGAAGCCATTGTCCCATTGCGTACTAGTCTCCAGGGAAGCAGAACGGAAGCTTGCTCCCTCCTCCTCCTCCCTGTGGCTTCCTCTCACATATTTATACATGGCTATCATATCTCCTCTCAGCCTTCTCTTCTTCAGGCTAAACATGCCCAGCTCCTTAAGCCGCTCCCCATAGGGCTTGTTCTCCAGACCCTTGATCATTTTAGTCGCCCTCCTCTGGACACATTCCAGCTTGTCAATATCTCTCTTGAATTGTGGTGCCCAGAATTGGACACAATATTCCAGGTGTGGTCTAACCAAAGCGGAATAGAGCATGGGGAGCATGACTTCCCTGGATCTAGACACTAGGCTCCTATTGATGCAGGCCAAAATCCCATTGGCTTTTTTTGCCGCCACATCACATTGCTGGCTCATGTTTAACTTGTTGTCCACGAGGACTCCAAGATCTTTCTCACACGTACTGCTCTCAAGCCAGGCATCCCCCATTCTGTATCTTTGCATTTCGTTTTTCCTGCCAAAGTGGAGTATCTTGCATATGTCACTGTTGAACTTCATTTTGTTTGTTTGGAAATAACTGGTTTCAACTGAAAGGACGAACGCTGCTAATTCATCTTTCTCCCTTTCCGTTCCAGAGGCGGAGGTCGGCTGAGGATGAACTGGCCATGCGCGATTACCTGCAGGAAGGAGACCTCATCAGTGTATCCATAGTTTTGTCAATTATGAATTATGAAAAAGGCCAAGTCTGGGGAAAAATAGAGCAACCGTCCATTAATTTTGTTCCTGATTTGTCGTTTTCTTGCTGGAGGGGATTGTGGGAGCTGTAGTCCAAAATGTCATGTTTCCAAGCCATCTCTCTATCTGTATCAGCGACCCTTCATGTCATGTTTCCAAGAATCTCGTTCTGAAATAAAGGGAGGGCCCCAAAGTGGCAGATTCCAGGAGCTTTCTCAGTTTCGTCTTCACTTGAATGAGGAACTTCCTGTGTTATCCATCCAAAGGTGGTATTGTTGTATTATTTTGCAAAAATGCAATCCTCGGGAGTCTTGTTTCCTTAAGTAGTCCTTTCAGGCAGAGGTCCAGGCGGTGTTTTCCGATGGGGCCGTATCATTGCACACCCGGAGCCTGAAATATGGGAAGGTGAGTGAGGCTTGAGTTAACCTTTCCGACTCGTTTCTTAGCTCTTGGTTTTGTGTTCCGATGAGCAGCAGAAGAGGGTCCAATTGCTTCTCTGTGTTGCAGCTCGGCCAGGGGGTCCTGGTCCAGGTCTCCCCATCCCTCGTGAAGCGGCAGAAGACCCACTTCCATGACCTGCCTTGCGGGGCTTCTGTTATCCTCGGCAACAACGGCTTCATCTGGATTTACCCGACTCCTGAACAGAAGGATGAAGACGCCGGGGGCTTCGTCACTGACCTGGAGGTGAGCAGGGGGCGGGGTATCTATTAAATGCCACCATCATTAAAATAACAGATCTATATATTGCTGGAAATTTCAGCTCTTCACAAGATGAAATCATTCTGAACTTTTGGTTAGAACTGTCAGTATATGTTGAAGTATGTAATGTGTTTTAAATGTAATTTCACGCAGTAGAAATATGGATGCCACAAGATTGTATTGCTGTGATGTATGTTTATGTTAGAGGCTGTGAGAAAGTAACCCTGAGATACTCTCTGTGTGGAGTTATGAGAAAATTAGGGAGTGTCTGGTATCTGCCAAGCAGCTGCAGAATTGTTTACCCTTCTACTTTCTTTGTCCTGCGTACTGTGTACTTCATGTCTGGTCGCTTACTGTAATGGATGTGTTTTGAACCTGCTTTGTAACCAGACGTCTCCAGAGTCCATGTTTTCTTCTAAGCCTGTGCAAAACTTCCACTAACACTAACAAGAACAACCAACTGGAATCCAAGGGTATTTTCAGAAACCTGCCACTGAATCGTAAAGCAGCGTGCACGTCCCATCCTCTGTCACATTGTCCTGAATGCGACGAGCGTTCCATGTAGTATTTTGATGAGCTGTTTCCTCTCTCTCCTTAGCTGGTGCCATTGCCAGATCGGGAAGTCATCTCCCGCCTTCGGAACTGCATCATGGCCTTAACGGCTCAGAAACTGATGCTCTACGACACTAGCATCCTTTACTGCTATGAAGCATCCCTTCCTCACCAGGTAGTAGCCATTGATATCTGAGCTTACATGTATCCATTGGGAACGAGACAGGTATCCCAATCCACTGGCTTCCCCTCTCCATTCAGAATGACATGCCTTGGAAAGCCGCAGGACCTAATCCACACCAGTTATGTAATAATAAACTTTAAAGGCACTCATCACAACAGCCCTCATAACGATAAGAGTCCAAAAAGCAGGGATATGTTCTGATTCATAGCCTCAGATCTGTTCTGGCCACTTCTTTGTCTCTTTGGAGCAGGTCCAATGACTCTTAATCCAATAATAATAATAATAATAATAATAATAATAATAGGGTTGTTGTAGGTTTTTTCGGGCTATATGGCCATGGTCTAGAGGCATTCTCTCCTGACGTTTCGCCTGCATCTATGGCAAGCATCCTGGATTCTTGCCATAGATGCAGGCGAAACGTCAGGAGAGAATGCCTCTAGACCATGGCCATATAGCCCGAAAAAACCTACAACAACCCAGTGATTTCGGCCATGAAAGCCTTCGACAATACATAATAATAATTTCTTACCCGCCTCTCAAGGCAGGCTATAGACCAATTAAAACATGTAAACACTTCAAAAACACAGCAAGTGCACATATTAAAACATACCTCTATAAAAGCTACACACAAAAACGTATCTACAAAATACATATTAAAATACGCAAAACAGAGAGTAAACAAAGGACACACATTTAAAATCCATGCTTATTTATTCATTTATTTACAGCATTTATATTGTGCCATTCTCGCCCCGAAGGAGACTCAAGGCAGATCACAGAACACATACACAGCAAACATTCAATGCCTTTAAACAGAGAGGACAAACAACAGATAGAGGTAGTATGTCGGCCTTTTTCCCAACTTCAGCGTCCCGGAAGTTGTGCTTGATTCTGGCCACAGGAGGGTGCTGTCACTCCATCCTCTATGATGTAGAGCCCTTGATCACAGACTTCCTCCTTCCTTTGATCGCTGGCATTTTCTGGTATTTCCTTTATACCTCCCCATTTAATTTCTCTACTCAAAGCTATTTTCGAACTGCTAAGGTGGACAGTAAACTGGACTGAAGGTCCGGTGGTCACCCTGACCCGGGCTTCGAACTATCAACCTTTCAATTGGTTAAGATCGATTGCTGCTGGTGATTTAACGCCTGGCCTGGGTTGCCAATCACCTGCACACCCTGGCTCCACTCCTGTTGTGAGATCTGGAATCACTTCTCCGTTCATTCTATTGCAGATCAAGGATCTACTGAAGCCGGAGGTGATGGAGGAGATCGTGTTGGAGACTCGGCAGAGACTGCTGGAACTGGAGGGGTGATGGCAGAGTGGTTGCCTTCAAGAAGATGTTGCCCTTTTCTCTCTTCCCATGAACGTTGGACTTTGTTGTGGTTATAGATTATGTCAGATGAAATTATTTGACGAAGGAAGTTTTTGATGCCGGTTAGAACAAACACACATGCCCGGTGGAGAATGATCAACCTCTTCTTGTTCACATTTCACATCTTCTGGTGTCCTGTCCTTCACCTTGGGCTACCACTCTTGCACATTATTGCCTCCAGACATGGAATTGTGTTGGTTTTATACTTTGGAAGTATTGACTCATTGGTTTGAGTCTCCTTTCTTATTTGCTTCAGCCCTTCAGGTGTTTGGATTTCAACTCCCACAATTCCTCGCAGCCTCAAGCCCCTTCCTTTTTCCACTCAGCCACCTAAGTAGAAAGGGAAAAGGAAAATTTGGACCTGGGACATACTCTCCTGTTACCCTTCCTAGAGTTTTTATGATACTGCAAACTCTTCTAAAGTCAATTCCATGTATAACATAACTATATGGTAGGTATTTTTTAAAAAATAAGCCTCTATTTTTTTTGTATTGGAAGTACTTAAACGCAACCCAGTAAATGTTTTTTTTAAAGAAAATATCCAAAATCAAAAGATTGATTTCATTTTGTTGTTTTGTTTGCTAAGGGAAAAAAAATATTGCGTCCTGCTTTTTTCTTGCTGGTTCTGCATGCATCCCTTTGCAAAAGTGGGAAAAATATTCTTGCAAAAGGCAGCAACTGGGGTGCGATGGCAGCTGCAGCGTCACCAATGCTCCAATGTATTATTATTACTTCAAAACATATACGGCTGGTTTCTGTGCAATGTTGTGCTCCTTTTGCAGCCTGCAGAACAAGCCACAACTTGAGTCTCCATTATTGGGAGTGTTTGAAGGAAACCAGAAGCGTTTTGAACATTTTTAGATTTTTATATTCCTGTATGTGTTTAGACCAGGCATGGACAAACATGGTGGTCTGGAGGGGGGTGGGTGGGCCGGGAGGGTGAAGAAAAGATGGGAAATGTTTGGATCCCAAAAGGGCTGGCCTTGGTCAGGATGAGATGGTGGATGGGAGAGAAAACGTGTATCCATTAGACCCCATCTTGCTTACTCCTGCTATAGAATTCTAGCACTGGAAGAGACCCCCAAGGACCATCCAGTCCGACCCCTTGCCATGCAAGAAGGCACCATCAAAGCACTCCTAATAGTCACAGCTTCTTCTGGAAAGCCTCAATCACACTCCGGAGCAGCCTAGGCCATTCTCCAGCAGCTTTTACTCTCAGAGACTTCTTCCTAATCTTTTCAGTTGAATCTCTTTCCTGGCCATTTGAACCCATTGCTCCCTTGTGCCCGGGTCTCCTCCTCAATGGGACACCCTTTAAAATCTTGAAACATGGTTCTCCTGTTCCCTCTCTACCTTCTCTTCTCCTAGCTAAACATCTCCAAGGAGGAAAGGTGGAAGGAAAAAAAGAGAAGGAAGGAAGGGTGGAAGGGAATGGAGTGGAGGGAAGGGAGGAGGAAGGAAAGACAAAAGGGATGAGGAAGGCAATGGAGGGAGGGAAGGGAGAAAGAAGGAAAGACAAAGGAAGGGAGGAAGGACGAAAGGGTGGAAGGGAATGAAGGCAGTAAGAAAGACAAAAGGGTGGAAGGAAATCGAGGGAGAGAGGGAAGAGAAGAAACAAGGGAGGGAAGGAAGGAAGGACAAAAGGGTGGAAGGGAATGGAGGGAGGGAGGGAAGGGAGAAAGATGGAAAGAAGGGAAGGAAGGATGGAAGGGTAAAAGGAAGGAGAAAGGATGGAAGGAGGGAAGGAGAAGGAAGGACAAAAGGGAAGGGAGGAAGGAGGAGAGAGGGAGGGAGAAAGAAGGAGGACAAAAGGGAAGGAAGGGGGGAGAGGGGGGAGGAAGGAAGAAAAGGAAAGACAAAAGGGAAGAAAGGAAGGACGAAAGGGTGGAAGGGAATGGAGGGAGGGAAGGGAGAAAGAGGGAAAGACAAAAGGGAAGGAAGGAAGTATGGAAGGGAATGGAGGGAGTGAAGGAAAGGAAAGGGAGAAAGAAGGAAAGACAAAAAGGAGAGGAAGGATGAAAGGGAAGAAGAGGGATGAAAGGGTGGAAGAGAATGGAAGGAAGGGAGAAAGAAGAAAAAAACCAAAAGGAAAGGAAGGAAGGACGAAAGGGTGGAAGGGAGGGAAGGAAGGAAGGAGAAGGAGAGTGGGAAGTAGGGAGGGAAGAGAAAAGGAAGGAAGGACAGGATGGTGAAAGGGAGGGGAGGGTCTGAGAAAAGAGCCCAAGGGGCCACATCTGGGCCCTGGCCGTGGGTTTACCCATACCTGGTTTAGGCGACTATACAGAATAAGATATCTTGAATGACACCAGAAATATTTGAAGAAAAGAATTGATACCAGGATACCTGTATTTGCATATATATCCCTAATGAGATCTGGGGGATTCACCTCATAACAGATTCACGAAATATGCAATATCACTTCGTTTTGCTCTCCTTTTCGTTTCTGGTGTAAAAAAAATGCAAATACAGAGGTTCATTTCGTGGCTGGATGCCGGCATGACACTGTATTAGTAGTATTACATTCTCAAATACTTAGTATATTCGGAGTATTACGTTTTCAAATACATTTTCTGAGGCCCACACCTTCAAAATGACTTTTTCATTCCAAAAAGCAGCGGTAGTCCAATAGAAGTTTTACTTTCTGACTGAATAGTCCTGAATTACTGAAGCTATTATAGGAATAGCATTTATTTATTTGTATGTAAAGCTGATAATAGGCCGCAGCAGGTGCTTATTTCCTCACACCTGAAGAAAAACCGTTCAAAATGGCACCCATTTCCCCCTTTCATGAGACAATTTGAAGCTCTTTTTCTCAAACTGAAGCCTAAACTATTCAAAGAGAGGTTTTATTTCCTGACTGAATGAAAGGACTGACTATTATTATGGTTTATTTATATGAGACTATATTAGCGTAGCTTTGTATAAGCCTCAGCAGGTGCTTAGTTCCTTCAAAATGGCCTCCCTTTTGGTGTTTGGAGCTCTTTTCCTCAAACTAAACCATTCAAAGCAAAGTTTTATACTTTTGGCTGAATGAAGAAACTTATTATATTAGAACTTCTTAGGTTTTTTTTTTTTTTTTTTAATAAGTTTTTATTAGTTTATCACAATTATTACATACTATTGCATTTTCTACATCAACCTCTTTAACATGTTATTTTGTTGTTTTGCTTTGACATTCCTCCCCTTTTTTTTCTCTTTTTTTTTTTTTTCCCCACCTCCGTGCTCCCCTCCACCCGTTTCAAGCCACATTTCTTACATTTCATCAGTCCAAAATTTCATTTCTTCTTGTGACGGTAATTTTCCTTCCTTATTTTTTAATCCATTTATCACAAATTTCCCCCATATAGCATCAAAATCACTTTGTTTCCATATACCTTTTTTAACCTTTAATATACATGTCAGTTTATCGTTTAAAGCTAATTTCCATGCTTCCTTATACCACTCCTCTATTTGTATATTCATTTCTTTTTTCCAATTCCTTGCTATGAGCAGTCTTGCTATAGTTAGTAAATTTGTTATCGCTTCTTTATCCTCCTTTTTCAATTGCTTATTGGTATATAATGATAGTAAGGCTATACTAGGACTTTTATCTATTTTCATATTCATTATAATTTCTATTTCTCTAGAGAGAATTAGAACTTCTTAGGTGACATTATATTAGCATAGGTTTGTATCGGCCTCAGCAGGTGCTTCGTTCCTCACGCCTGAAGGAAAACCTTTCCAAAATGGCGGCCTTTTCGGAAGCTCTTTTCCTGAAACGAGAGCCTAAACTATTCAAACTAAAGCCTAAACTATTCAAAGCGAAGTTTTATTCTTTGGCTGAATGAAGAAACTTATTATATTAGAACTTCTTAGGTGATATTATATTAGCATAGGTTTGTATCGGCCTCGGCAAGTGCTTCGTTCCTCACGCCTGAAGGAAAACCTTTCCAAAATGGCGGCCTTTTCGGAAGCTCTTTTCCTGAAACGAGAGCCTAAACTATTCAAACTAAAGCCTAAAATATTCAAAGCGAAGTTTTATTCTTTGGCTTAATGAAGAAACTTATTATATTAGAACTTTTAATGTGATATTATAGTAGCATAGGTTTGTATCGGCCTTGGCAAGTGCTTCGTTCCTCACGCCTGAAGGAAAACCTTTCCAAAATGGCGGCCTTTTCGGAAGCTCTTTTCCTGAAACGAGAGCCTAAACTATTCAAACTAAAGCCTAAAATATTCAAAGCGAAGTTTTATTCTTTGGCTTAATGAAGAAACTTATTATATTAGAACTTTTAATGTGATATTATAGTAGCATAGGTTTGTATCGGCCTTGGCAAGTGCTTCGTTCCTCACGCCTGAAGGAAAACCTTTCCAAAATGGCGGCCTTTTCGGAAGCTCTTTTCCTAAAACGAAAGCCTAAACTATTCAAACGGTTCAAAGAGAAGTTTTATTTCCTGGAGGAAGGAACTTATACTATAACTTATGATATTAGAACATGATCATAGTATTATATTATTATAGTTGTATAGGACTCAGCAGGTGTGTTCCATCCTTACACCTGAAGGAAAACCTTTCAAAATGGCGGCCTTTTGGGAAGCTCTCTTCCTAAACTGAAAGCCTAAGCTATTCAAACTAAACTGTTCAAAGATAAGTTTTATTTCCTGGATGAAGGAATTTATGACTATAACTTATTATATTAGAACATTATCATAGTATTTTATTATCATAGTTGTATAGGCCTCAGCAGGTGTGTTCCATCCTCACACCTGAAGGAAAACCTTTCAAAATGGTGGCCTTTTCCTAAAACGAAAGCCTAAACTATTCAAACTAAAGTCTAAACCGAGAAGTTTTATTTCTTGGATGAAGGAACTTATGATATTAGAACATTATCATATTATTATATTATCATATTTGTATAGGCCTCAGCAGGTGTTTCAATCCTCACACCTGAAGGAAAACCTTTCAAAATGGCGGCCTTTTCGGATGCTCTTTTCCTGAAACGAAAGCCTAAACTACTCAAACTAAAGTCTAAACTGAGGAGTTTTATTTCATGGATGAAGGAACTTATACCATAACTTATGATATTATAACATGATTATAATAGTTGTAAAGGCCTCAGCAGGTGTTTCCATCCTCACACCTGAAGGAAAGCCCTTCAATATGTCGTCCAAGATCGTGGAGTCCTCGTGGAGAACAAGTTAAACATGAGCCAGGAATGTGATGTGGCGGCAAAAAAAGCCAATGGGATTTTGGCCTGCATCAAGAGGAGCATAGTGTCTAGATCCAGGGAAGTCATGCTTCCCATGCTCTATTCCGCTTTGGTTAGACCACACCTGGAATATTGTGTCCAATTCTGGGCACCACAATTGAAGAGAGATATGGACAAGCTGGAATGGCCGACTAAAATGATCAAGGGTCTGGAGAACAAGCCCTATGAGGAGCGGCTTAAGGAGCTGGGCATGTTTAGCCTGAAGAAGAGAAGGCTGAGAGGAGATATGATAGCCATGTATAAATATGTGAGAGGAAGCCAGAGGGAGGAGGAGGGAGCAAGCTTGTTTTCTG